GGGTTAAGAACCGGGACTAAAGATTATAGCACTGCATATGATTTTCGCTTACATATGTGTTTATAAAATAGAAGTTAATGCATTAACATTATTTAAAGTACTAAAGATTAATGACAATTACTTCGAAAAATTAAGTGGATAAATCGTAATAAGCAAATATATGACTTATAATTAATAAAAATTCCAATATATATATATATATATACTTAGCATATATATGAATGATATTATTATATTGGTAAAAACTCTAATTAAGATATGTATGTACATACTGCATGATTTAAAATTAATAAAAATTGTAATCATCATATATACTTAGCGTAGGAATTATATTAAATTAAATGCTAAAAACTCTAATTAACATATGTAAATGCCACATGCATGATTTAAACCTTTTAAAAATTCGAATAGTCATATATAAGTAGCATATGAAAGATAGTAAATTAAATTGTGAAAAACTCTAATATATGAATGATAGTTTTAAAAATATATTAAATTTAATACTTTTAAAAATTCTCCAGTCAATTATAATTAGCATATGAATGATAGTAAATTAAATGTTAAAAACTCTAATTAACATATAAAATTGCCACATGATTTAAAATTGCCGTACTGACTAGCATATACATGATTTGAACTTGTTGAAACCTCTAATAATCGTGCGTAATTAACATATGCCATACATCAATTGATTTATATGGATAATCAATACATCCAAAATAGTTTACATCGTGTACACAATAATTACGGCATTACATCGGCGGTGACGGTTGACCGCACGTACTTTCTCCTCACTATTGTTCCCTCCTTGTGATCGCTGCGTGAGTAAGGGGTGTCTTCATTTGATAGGAGGATGCTAGGGTCAATCGTCACCGTGAAAGGGGGTTGCCCATCCAACTGATCGTAATCCTCGTCAGTCTTGTCCTCAACTCCGACGATTTTTCTTTTGCCTGGGAGAACCACTTGACGCTTAGGCTCATCAGGCCCTCTGCCCTTCTTTCCTTTGCTAGACATGTCCTTCACGAAAAAGACTTGCGTTACATCATTGGCAAGGACAAAAGGTTCGTCCGAGTATCCAACCTTGTTAAGGTCAACAGTTGTCATCCCACTGTCATCAATCATTACGCCTCCACCAGTCAACCTAACCCATTGGCACCGGAACAGAGGAACCTTGAGAGGACCATAGTCAAGTTCCCATATGTCCTCGATGGCACCGTAATACGTGGCAGTTGTTCCATCGTGTCCCATGGCATCGACACGAACAACGCTGTTTTGGTTCGTGCTCTTCATGTCTTGGGCTCTCGTGTAGAATGTGTACCCATTGATCTCATATCCCTGGAATGTCGCGATCGACCCAGACGGTCCCCTCGCCAGGAAGGCAAGTTGTTGGTTGATCGACTCGTTACCCATGAGATGTTGTCGTAGCCACGCGGGGAAAGTATCAATGTGATGCCGTGTAATCCATACATCGGACTTACCGATGTTCCTGGCGCGAACTAGAGCCAAGTGCTCCTCGATGTAAGGAGCTACCAATGAAGAGTGTTGCAGAACAGTGAAATGGGCTTTACGGAATAAATTGTTGTCTACCGTCATAATTGCTTTCCTTCCGAGAGTTCCCTTTCCCCGTAGTCTCCCTTCATGGCGTGATTCCGGTACCCCGATTGGGCGAAGGTCTTCGATAAATTCTACGCAAAATTCGATGACCTCCTCTGTTCCATAACCCTTGGCGATGCTTGCCTCTGGACGAGCACGGTTACGAACATACTTCTTCAGAACGTCCATGTACCTCTCGAAAGGAAACATGTTGTGTAGGTACATAGGCCCGAGAATACGGATCTCTTTCACAAGGTGACAAAGCAGATGTGTCATTATATTGAAAAATGAAGGTGGAAATATCAACTCAAAACTGACGAGACATTGCACCACTTCATTCTGAAGGGCATCTAATCTATCCGGATCGATGACCTTCTGCGAAATTGCGTTCATGAATGCACATAGCTTTGTTATTGTTGCCCGGACATTGTCTGGAAGGATACCCCTTATTACAACTGGTAGCAGTTGTGTCATCAACACGTGACAGTCATGAGACTTTAGGTTTGTGAACTTCTTCTCCTTCGTGCTTATTATTCGCTTGATATTCGTGGAGTATCCAGACGGTACCTTTATGCTCTCCAAGCATTCAAACATACTTTCCTTCTCTGCCTTGCTAAGAGTGTAGCTGGCTGGACTCAAGTAATGGCTTCCTTTCTCCTTTGGTTCCGGGTGAAGGTCGCCGCGTTGTTCCATATGCTTCAGATCATTACGTGCTTCCAGTGTATCTTTCGACTTTCCGTATACACCTAGGAAGCCAAGAAGGTTTACGCAAAGGTTCTTAGTGAGGTGCATCACGTCGATTGCGTGGCGTACGTCCAAGAATTCCCAATATGGTAACTCCCAAAATATAGAGTTCTTTTTCCACATCGCCGCGTGACCATCTTCGCTCTCTATATGCTGGCTTCCAGGCCCCTTTCCGAACACTACTTTAAGATCTTTAACCATAGCAAACACTGTTTTCCCGCTGCGATGTTTAGGCTTCGTACGGTGGTCGGCCTTATGTTCGAAGTGCTTGCCTTTCTTCCGTACCGGGTGGTTTGCTGCAAGGAATCGACGATGACCCATGTATACAACCTTCCTACAGTGCTTAAGATACGTACTTTCTGTTTCATCCATACAGTGAGTGCAAGCCTTGTACCCCTTGTTGGACTGTCCGGATAGGTTGCTAAGTGCAGGCCAATCGTTGATGGTTACGAACAGCAGCGCTCGTAGGTTAAACTCCTCCTGTTTGTCCTCGTCCCACACGGGGACACCTTCCTTCTTCCACAACTGTTTAAGATCCTCGACCAGTGGTCTTAGGTACACGTCGATGTCGTTACCAGGTTGCTTGGGGCCTTGAATAATAATCGGCATCATTATGTACTTCCTCTTCATGCATAGCCAGGGGGGGAGGTTGTAGATACACATCGTAACGGGCCAAGTGCTATGGCCGCTGCTCATCTCTCCAAAAGGATTCATGCCATCCGTACTCAAACCAAACCGTATGTTTCGTGCGTCCTTTCCAAATTCTTTAAATTTTCTGTCGATGTTTCGCCACTGCGAACCATCGGCGGGGTGTCTCAGCATCCCGTCCTGTTGACGCTCTTCAGCGTGCCATCGCAACATTCTAGCATTCCCCTTGTTCCTGAACAAACGCCTTAGCCGTGGTATTATAGGGAAATACCACATCACCTTAGCAGGAATTCTCTTCTTTGTTAGCTGCCCGTCAACTTCTCCTGGATCGTCCCGTCTAATCTTGTATCGTAGTGCTTTGCAAACAGGGCATGCTTCTAGGTTCTCGTACTCCTCACCGCGATATAGGATACAATCGTTCGGACATGCGTGAATCTTATGAACTTCCAGTCCTAACGGGCAGACTATCTTCTTAGCCTCGTACGTTGTCTCGGGCAATTTGTTTCCCCCCGGAAGAATGTTCTTGACGAGTTTCAATAAATCGCCAAATGCCTTGTCACTAACCCCATTTTTTGCCTTCCATTGCAACAACTCCAGAGTGGTATCCAACTTTTTGTGCCCCTGCTCGCAACCTGGGTACAACGAAGTTCTGTGGTCCTCCAACATCTTGTCCAATTTATGGGCCTCCTTTTCACTTTCGCAGTCCTCCCTGGCGTCCTGCAACATTTGACCAAGATCATCCGCAACGTCGTTACCATCAGCAGCTATTTCCTCCTCGCTCGTTTGATTTCCTTCAAATCCAACAAATTGAGCAAAGTCCGGAATATTGTCGTCTTCCACTTCATCTTCTTCCATTTCAACACCTTGCTCTCCGTGGGATGTCCAACAATTATAGCTTGGCATGAACCCCGACTCAAACAAGTGGAAATGAATAGTCCTGGATGCAGAATACTCCTTCTGATTCTTACACTTATTGCATGGACAACAAATAAAACCCCTTTTCCTGTTAGCTTCGGCCACTCTAAAAAATAGTGCACGCCGTCAATAAACTCTTTGGACCGCCGGTCAGCGTACATCCATTGCCGATCCATCTACATGAGTCAAAAAAACCGTACACAAATAATTATTCTTACAATAATGACAGTCATACAATAATTATAAGATATCTTTATTCATACAAAAATCATAAAATATTACACCAAATAATTCTTAAAAACTATTTGTTAAGTAATAAACTAATTTTAATGTGTTTTACTTCTTTTAATTTTCATTTTAGTTTGTTTTCTATTATTTAAGATTAACTTTCACTAGAGTTTTCCTTCTCAACTATTTTATAAAACCTTGTTTAGCAAATGAACTAAATTTCTATATATTCTTTCTTCCCCACACACATTTTCTCTCATCAACTTACAACTACATTTTGGAGACAAAAAAAGTGTGCAAAACATAGGTGCAAATTTAGTATGACAAAAAAAAACATTGGAGGATGAAGTTGCAAACCTTTTAGGCACCTCCGATTTGTATGTAATCACCAAAATAAATTCAATAGAAATTTTGGCATGACCTCCCCTCTTTTTTGAAGAAATTTTGAAGCTTGCTCGGGCAGCTGGAGGAGGAAGAAGACATATATATAGGGGTGGGACTTTAGTCCCGGTTGGTAGCACCAACCGGGGCTAAAGATCACCGGGATCTTTAGTCCCGGTTGGTATTACCAACCGGGACTAAAGTTACCATCTTTAGTCCCGGTTGGTGTTATCAACCGGGACTAAAGATACCGGGAGGGCCTGACAGACCCTGACAGCATTCGAACCGGGACTAAAGATCATCTTTAGTCCCGGTTGGTAACACAAACCGGGACTAAAGATCAAATATGCCCGTTACCCTTTTGAACCGGGACTAAAGAACATCTTTAGCCCCGGTTTTTATTGCATCCGGGACTACTGTGGAAATCGGCCGACCGACGAAAGATGGTTTCTCCACCAGTGTGTGGTATGACCTCCATGCTCTGGCTGCAGCCGTGGCGCCACTGCTACTAGTTTCCTCTGTGCTGGTGGGTACGTCGACGGCGGCGAACTGCGGCAGGAAGTGCGGCGACGTGCGCATCCCACGCAGCACCTCTAGCTACCACGTAGTACGTACAAGCAGCAAGAAACGAAACGTAATGCGCGTCGGAATACTAGCCATGCCACAACAACTAATAATAGTGCTGCTGCTGCTGTTCCATGCTGCTACGGCGGCGGCGGCGGGTGGGCAGCGGGCGGGGTGCTCGAGCAAGTGCGGCGACGTCGACATCCCCTTCCCCTTCGGCATCGGCGTCGACTGCGCCTGGCCGGGCTTCGAAGTCGACTGCAACCATAGCTTTACCCCACCCAGGCCGTACACGGGGGACGTAGAGATCATGGACATCTCGCTGGAGAAGGGGGAGATGCGCGTCTACAGTCTCGTGCTGCAAGACTACTGCAACAACTCGCCTAACACCACGGAATCCAGCGGTATTTACGCGAGTTTCAACGCCACCGGCACGCCGTTCCTGTTGGCGGAGGAGAGGAACGAGTTCACGGCCATCGGCTGCGGTGCGATTGGGTTGGGTTGCTATGGGGCAAGGACGACGGGAGCTACTTGACCGGCTGCATCACGTCGTGCGCGAGCTTGGAGACAGCCGCCAACGACGGTGACGGCTGCACGGGGCTGGGTTGCTGCCATGTGCCTTCCATCCCGCCCAACCTTAACGTCCTAAATTTGGAGTGGGCCGACCCGAGCTTGGTGCCCAACGTCGCGTGGGACCAAGGCGCCCCCTGTAGCTACGCCTTCGTGGCGGAGAAAGGCTGGTACGTTGCTTACGTGCATATATATATACTAGCAAAATGCCCGTGCTTCGCTACGGATAAATTATTTCTTAGACTAAGTATTAATTAGAAATTTTAATGATAATTAGAATGGATAAAACCACCATTACATATTGATATACTCATATTCTCATAATACTCAAGATGGGCGTGGATGGTCCGATGATCAAATGGTGGTGAGGACTGTGGTAGGATGTATCTCATAATTGGACTCATCTATTGATGGTGGACATTGGCAACGAAGAAAACCAGAACAGCAGAAATGCGACTGACAATATTGTTCTGATAGATAGAGAAAGAAACGACAACGGCAACCTCTGGTCTGATCTGGGTTGCTCATTTTTTTCCGGTCCAATCTGGTTTTTCTTCTAATAATACACATGGTTTTTGCTGAGTTTTTTTTTGGCCCGGTCTGATTTTTTAATAATACACCCGTATGTTGTAACGGGTGAAGGCTATTTTAATTATATTATTGTTATGCTAGAAAAATGCACATGCTTTGTTACGGGTAAAGGAACAGTTAAATGCTATAAAGTCTAGAGTTAACATATATATAGTAATGTTTCAAGATAGATAAATTATTTATTAGGTTAATGATAATCACGCAGAATAAAAACACGCTCTCTCTCTCTCTCAACCCTTATGTGATAAACTGTGATATCATTGTACTGGGTAATGGTGACTTGGTGAGGTGAATGAAATTTGGCCTTAACGATTTATCGAAGCACCTTCATAGTTATCACAAATGCATATTTGTGTTTGGATAATTAATCCGCTCTACACGTACAGAATGTGAATGATGTCCCTAACACATGGTCCCAATGATTGTAGCATTGGAGAAACGGACGTCCAAGCAACGCACCTTTACGTATAAGTAAATAATGAATTTTTTGGGAGTTCATTAATTATTATAAACTACATTTTTTATGACACTTTTATAATCTTTTTTCATAATTGATGATTGCTATAACATTGCATTGATTATAATCACAATGCAACAGTACAGTGCTATGTTCTAACCGACAAAACCTGAACAGTGCCAGCCATACCATGCCGTTCCTTTTTCTTTTTAGAAAACCTCTTAGCACATGATTAATTGAGTTTTATTATAACAAAAATTAAGAAAAATTATCTAGTATTTTATATCAACTTGTATATAGAAAGTTTTAAAAACACGCTAACAAAAATCGAGATAGAAGGAACGGAGCCATGGTGTGAAGTTTCACGCCATGCACATATTCAATTTTCATGTTTTAAAAAAATACCGGTTGGTTCACGTGTTTATACTAATTTTTTAATATAATATAATAATCTTTATTTTTCGAATTAAAAACCGGTGTACTATAAGATTTCAGAATCACTAAAAATCTGTTAAAGAAAGAGGTGCAGAACTTTTGATGTTTCAGCCATCGGATGTGCATGGTCCGTGCTAATGGTTGAGAGAAAAAAAAATTACGCGCAAATATGATTTCGGACTAGGGAGGGAAAGTAGACATATTCTAGGGCCTAGGTCAACATATATTATATTGATTTTTGTGAATATAATTTAATTATTTTTAATTTTCGAATTAAAAACTGATTCATTATAAGATAAGATTTCATAACCAATAAAAATCTGTTGAAAAAAGAGAAAAAAATAGAAGGCAAATATAATTTGACTTGGGGGAGGCAAAATAGACTTATTCTAAGAGAGCCCTATACACAGTGCAAGTAATAATAGGTGCAAAATTGAGAGGAAAGTGGGACTCGAACCCAGGTGGCCGAAGTGAAAACTTTCTCCTTTAACCAAGTGGGCAGACTACTACACATGTGAGGCAATTACATGAAATGTGTATATATCGTATCAGACGCGGTTTTGGAGTAGATAAGAAAAGCCCAATCCGGCTGTTAACCGGATTAAATCTGGATTTTAGCGAAGCGCATGGTAATGACGGACGAAAAATACCTCCGGAAACCTTACGTATTTTTTAATTAGGTATATATATATATATATATATATATATATATATATATATATATATATATATATATATATATATATATATATATATATATATATATATAAAGCATATGTCATCAAATTCCGGCACATTAATTTGATCAATTTAATTAAAGAATGGCCTATCAAGATATATATGAATATCCTTCTGGGTCAAATTAATATCCACACAATATATACCGTGTACTGGATAGAGAAACTTTAAACCTGTTGTTGATATATATGCAATTCAGGTACAATTTTAGACGGGAAGATTTCGGTCATGCTGGCAGTAAGAGATTTGTGAACCGGGATGGCCACAAGAGAGTCCCCATGGTGCTTGACTGGGCCATCAGGGAAAACGGGTCATGCTCGGGGTCGGTAGCTCCTGCCTGCGTCAGCGACCACAGCCACTGCAACAATAGGAATAACGGAGAGGGGTATATCTGCAAGTGCTCCGAGGGATACGACGGCAATCCCTATCTCAAAGGCAATGGCGGATGCATAGGTTAGTTGTTAATTAATTATATACTGCAGATTACTGACTAGCTAACTGTATTCTTCTCTAAGTTGGCATGCATGAAGATATATCCTATCTAGTATGTGCACAAGTGGATAACTGATCTTTTTTCATGGTACCTAAAATCACAATTATCCATGTTAGGTTAAAGAACCGGTATTAAAGATACTCCAAGTCCCTCAAAACATTTTTAGTCCGGGTTGGTATAAACCAACCGTGACTAAACATTGATCTTTAGTCCCAATTGGTAACACCAACCTGGACTAAAGATTGAGGATCTTTAGTTCTGGTTGGTGTTACTATCTGGGACTAAAGATATCTATTCAAGTAAGATGTATGTAGTAGGTGGAAAGGTTATGCATATGGAGGCTAAGGTGAGAGATCTTAAGTTCGAATCTCACATCCCACTTATATTTCTCATTTGCTATGCAATTTTAGTACCGGTTCTCAAGTGGGACTAAAGATCTCCACTAAAGATAATACCAGGACTAAAGATCTCCCGATTTGCTCGACTCAGTTGTTATAACCGGGGGACTAAAGATCTCCTGATTTACTCATCTCGGTTGTTATAACGGGAGTAAAAATGGTTGTAAAGGTTGTTATAACCGGGAGTAAAAACCGTTTCTCCATCTTCCGATTTGCTCGCGCCGGTTGTTATAACCGGGAGTAAAAATGGTTGTAAACCGGAAGTAAAAACCGTTTCTCCCGCAATGGAGTAAAAATGGTTGTAAACCGGAAGTAAAAACAGTTTCTCCAGCTGCGGTGGTACGTGATTTGCTCGTCCCGGTTGCTATAACCACGAATAAAAATGGTTATAAATCGGGAGTAAAAACCGCTTCTCCAGTAGTGGTGTGGTACGTCGTCGATAGCTAGCGAGTATGGTATAGCTTAATGTTTGAAGTTGCTCGCGTACGTAAGCGCGACCGGATTGGTAGCTTAATTATTTGGATTGTTTATCACCACTATATATATGTGTGCAGATATTGACGAGTGCCATCTCAGGACAAAGTCTTCTATATACGGCCAACTCTATCCATGTTACAATGGTAGCAGATGCCAGAACACAGATGGCGGTTACAAGTGCATATGCCGATTTCCCCATAGAGGAGACGGTACTGGCAAGGGATGCAAGCCCATAATTCCCTTACGTATAGTCGCCACACTAGGTGAGCCGATCGACGCCGTTGATTCTTGATTAATTATTACTACTAGTACTACCTAGTAGCTAGTATACTTAATTGTGGCCGCCCATATGTACATGAATTTTGATTAATTGCTAATTTTACATATGGATTATTCAAGCAGTATCTATTTATGGGTCCAATAGATGAACCCACAGAATCCTTAATTAATTATATACATATATTGATCATGCAGCAACGGTATGCGCCATGGTTGCTCTTTTGGGCCTTGCGTGGTTCATTCGTTGTGAGCACAAGGCATGGGAGCAGAGGGGGTTCTTCGAAAGTAACGGTGGCCAACTACTGAAGGATATGGGCGTTACCACCTTCACGCAGGAGCAGCTTGACACGATAACAAACAAGAAGAGAACCAAGATCGGGAAGGGCACCTTCGGTGAGGTCTATAAGGGACTCCACGATGACCAGGAGGTCGCCGTCAAATACTCCACCGCGAAGAGCAGTATTAGACGAGGCAAATACGAGTTCGTGAAAGAGATGGCCTTTAGAAAATCCATTAGTTCCAATGGCGATGGTACGCTCGGCCAAAAAGCGTCCGTGAATGAGATCATTGTCCAGTCACAGATGCGGCACGACAACGTGGTCCGTCTCATCGGGTGCTGCATGGAGACGGAGGTCCCCATGCTGGTCTTCGAGTTCATCCCCAATGGGAGCCTCGAGACCGTGCTTCATGGACCTGACCTGTGGGCTCTCTCGCTGCCAGAACGCCTCGACATTGCCATCGGCTCCGCGGCTGCTCTTGCCTACATGCATTCTCTTGGTCTCCAAAGCATTATTCATGGAGATGTCAAGCCAGCCAACATCCTTCTTGGTAAGGATCTCGTGCCTAAGGTCTCTGACTTTGGGTCCTCCAAGTTAGGCCTTGCAACCAAGGAAGTATGTGCCGACAAGAACTACATCGATCCTGTGTGCATGAAAACTAACATTGTCACACAGAAAAGCGATGTTTACAGCTTTGGGATCGTACTCATAGAACTCATTACTCGGAAAAAGGCCAAGTATGACGGGAGAAACGTTCAGTCAGATTTTGTCAACTGTCACACGGACAACAATGCAAGGAGGGAGATGTATGACCAGGACATGCTGCATACTGATGCCCACAGCCTTCAGCCTGATCAGTGCATTGAATGCCTCGACACGATGGCGGCCATCGCAGTCCGGTGTCTCAAAGATGACGTGGATGAGAGGCCCACCATGGCAGAGGTGCTGGAGGAGCTTAAGCAATTGAGAGCAAGCAACGAACTGATGGTGTAGAAGATGAACCAAGCCTGGTCTCTTCAGACTCGGTTGGTAGTCCATCGATATATGGATTCGTCCTTCTCGCTATTGTTTTCTCCGTCGATCTTGCAGATGTGACGTTTGTTGCTTCCGCCGGGTTGTCCTGTTATGCTTGTAGAGCTGCAGCATTGTGCTATTGTCGTTTAGTTTCCTCTTGTAACAAGTATCGATAACGATCTTTTAGTTCTGGTATATCATGAATAAATCACAACGTAACTGAGAAACGCTCAGGGGATTTCCAGCTAGCTTCACAAGGTGGTGGGCTAGACCCCTTCTAATTATTTGAAATTATAGGTTCTTCCCTAATATTCAATTTTTTTTTAAATCGTAATGTAACTTAATTTATGAAGGAGATGTACTTTTGTGCACTCTTGAAATATATGCATATGCCTGCAAAATTGTAGTTGAGAGAGAGAGTTCAGAGTCAGGCTATAACTGAAAGAGGAAAGACTTCTTTTCATTTTGGAACGATGACCAAAGTTAAACATCGCCAGTCGCGTAGTGTGGAGTAGCAAGCATTTTGAGCTGCAAGGTCGGTCAGTCTAGCTCAGCCATGTATTAAGGAGACCGGTGCTCATGAAGTCGGAGCTGCGGTGTCTACGGGGCGTGATGCGTGGCAATGATGACATGAGCCTCGTTGAATTAGGTTAACATTTTGTGCGGGCTAGCTTGTTGTCGTAACCCTTATGTTTCTTAACAAAGTTGGAGTTGTCTAGCCGCGTAGGCGCTAGTGTGATGATGATAACGTCACGTCTTGGCTAGTGTATGGGAGTCTTTTTTTTCTAGCTTGTTGCTTGTTCATGTGGATGGTGTTTGTTGAGTGTTGAGCTTGGCTGTCCTGTTTTCGCCATCATCATAGCTTATGTAGTTGGAGTGTTATTGTAATTGTGGGTTTTGTTCAGTTTTTTCTAATTAACCTTGCATTATAAGGTTTGATCTCGTTTCTCCTAAAAATGAGATACCTTATTGTTTATATAAAACGTTGGCAATTGCCTTAATTACCATTCGAAAAAGAAATATTTCGTCCCAAGTTCTAGCAAACATTCGGAATTTTTGCCAAAACATTCCCTATATTCGAATTGGCCAATTGCTTAGAAACACTCAAAATACTAAAACAAAAATAAACCAACAATTGTTAATAGACGAATATATCTACCTACCAAGTCAATCAGATAAAATATTGATATTATGCTCATAACTAGCAAATTCAGCTCATGAAAACTTTTGTTATATATACTTCATCCGTTTGAAAAAAGCTAACTAACTGCTAGCTATGTATCTAGATATGGAGTTGGCTTTTTTTTTTTTTTGACAAAGGAGTACGTCGCTCGGGAAAAAATGGTAGGCAACAAATACTTGATTAAAGCGTAATATATTAGTGGCTAGAGGTAGTACTCCCACTGATTATGTAACATGGTTTTTCAAATATATATTTTCCAGTATAATTTTTTATTATAATATATAGATAATTACATATTTAATTTTATTGAAGTAAAAGAGTACTTCCTCCGTCCCATAAAGTACCAACCTAGTATAATGAACTGGACATGCCTTTATCCATATTCGTTGTACTAGTTCTACATTCGTCTTTTTTGGACGGAGGGAGTAATAATATATATATATATATATATATATATATAACTCAATATGCATAGCAATGTAAAATCATTATCTCCACATCATTTAAACATATACACTTACCATTTCTATAATGTATAATATGTATTCATCCACATATCCTACAACAAAGTAAGGCGCATCAACTTAGCGCACACTGAATTGAATATCCAATTGTATGAGTGACGGCTAAGATCAGAACCAGATGTATAATAAATAAGTTCTCCAAGTTGAATAAATTCTGGACCATGCATTCCTCCACGCATTTAATCTTCAGTTCAATTTACAACTCCAAATGGTTAATTTATAAATTCTAAACCCTTAATCGATGACGCACAAGTACTAGCACTACTGTTCTTCGTCGTCGTAATTAATTAGTATATGATATATACTTCCTCCGTTTTTAAATATTTGGTGCTGTTGACTTTTTAAAATATGTTTGACCGTTCGTCTTATTTAAAAAATTTAAATAATTATTAATTTTTTTCTTATCATTTGATTCATTGTTAAATATACTTATATGTATACATATAGTTTTACATGTTTCACAAAAGTTTTTGAATAAGACAAACGGTCAAATATATGCTAAAAAATCAATGGCGTGAAATATTTAGAAACGGAGGGAGTATATAAATAGTCAAAATGACACCTCGATCCGGTGATCCGATCATCTCTCTGCGAGTGAGAATGGAGTAAATTTGCAGTGTGTGATCGATCTGTGTTAATGTCGATCAATGTCTGTCAGTCTGTCAGTAGTGCTAGCTACAAGTAATGACAGGGATATATGTATAATTAACAGACAGAATCTTAGGTTAGTGGGGGTTAATTACTTATACTTATACCTTGGGCCACACACTAGTGCTATAATTAAGCATCTTATAGACCCCTAACTAGGGTCAGATTCTGCTTGGTTGGCTTGATGATAAGCACATGTTTACTGCTTAATTAAGCACATGCATGCATACTTACACAGTTAAAAACAAGACGTGTTCATTACGCCCTGCATCCTGCGTACTATATTTAGTATACGAATCACAAGTTGTTGCAGGTTTGTTACATTCTACTAGCAAATTATTTATATACTGAATATATAGCTATGTAGAGTACTAGTAGTAGAATGATTAGCTTAGTTTGCAGAGAAGAACATGCCATTTTGAGCACTTGATTCTTTCTTTCTTTCTTTTTTTCATTTTGTGTGGAGGGCATGCACTCGATTATTAATTTAAAAGCTAATTAAGTTAGGAGAGGATAAAAACTAATTTATGGATGAAAAACAACAGCATACCATATATACCTCCATTATTTATATTAATTAATCATCTAAAGTTTCGAAGTTTGACTGCCCACATTTTAGGATATCATCTATTTAAAAACAGAGATAGTACTTAGCTAAGCCTTTTCCTTTTGCAATTACATTAAAGACAAATACATATACACACCCCACGCATGCACAATTAATCCTAATCCCTTTTTTCATAGAGTACTTTAATTTAAATTCGTGGCATAATTAACCACACAACTAAAGTGATGAATCTGTGTCAACCTTTAAATTCTCAGTGAAAGTGCATCAAATATGTATTAGTTGGGTATATCTGCAGGGTTTGAACCCTGATAGATAGAAAATTCACAACCACATCAAACTAAGCTGGTTTGCGAGACCCACAGTTAAGTTTATTTAATTTGAAGCTTACCCATTAAGCATGCATGTACTGTTCGTACGTCACGGTTACCGTAGTAAAACATTAGTCAACTAATAGTTGATGTTACCAAAACCCAACAGTTTGAACCATATGCTTGTCTTATTATCAGCTACATATATAGATGCATGCATGTTGTCTATACTACATCTGCTAATAATTAAGAATAGAAGGTACAAATATAGGCTCAACGAAAACGTTCTTAATTAATTGGTCATATTTGGCTCTACATGCATCCCATCGATCCTTGCATTAGGTCAAACATATGCATTATAGTAGACTAGATGGTGTGCTTAGTGGAGACAGTCACCTTAAATTGTAGCAGACGAATATTAGCATTAATTGCATTGCTAATGTACAAAAGTTCAAAAGACAACTAGCTAAAATTAAAGAAAAATATTTCAATTTGAGATATGTCAACCTTTATTAATTTGAAGATGAGTTCGGTTGAAAAAGAAAATGAGGTGTTCGACTTCTTAATTTAACTATTTACTCGTAAAGATACTCTATAGGTTTTTAATGTTTGATGCCGTTAACTTTTTTATATATGTTTGACAATTTGTTTAATTCAAGATTCGTTTTTACAATAAATATGTAAAAAAAATATAAAATTATAAGTCATATTTAAAGTACACATGATGATAAAACAAATTAAAAAAAATAAATAATAATTATGTAAGTTTTTAATAAGACACATGGTGAAACGTGCGTCCAAAGTCCTAAAAATCAACAGCTTTAAACATTAAAAACCGGAGAAAATATAATATAATATTTTTCGAGATATCGTTGGTATGATTAATCTACTACTCTCTCCGTCCCAAAAAAGTTCAATTCTAGAGATGAATATGGACATATGTTCATCTCTAGAATTGGACTTTTTTTTAGGATGGAGAGAGTAATTAATAGCATTTTGGTATGAAAGTTCATTATGCTTTCATATACCATACTAATACTTTCAGTATGCGAGTAAATAAGATTCTACTCCTCCGGTTTAATTGTCGAATTAATCAAAGACGCAATAAGGATTATATGTATACACGAGTGGATCTCGGATGCGTTGCGTTTTCTCTGCTCTACGGCGTCAGCTGCTGACATAAGCCAAGCACTTGTCAACGATGACCTAGTATTAATTGTACAGTATTTTGTCCCCCTGACAATGTGGGGCCCACACGGGCGTTGACTAGCATACGTGGAAGCTTTTCACCCGCACAGCTTTTCTGGACGGCTGGGATCTCTGTCAACTGACAAACATAATCGATCTGCACCGTTGGATCGACGCAAATGTGTACTTGGCATCTCCTAGAATTTGATCAACAATGTACAAGTCTATAGATGGATAGTCAAGACTCAAGACCATCTATCACCTCAACTTGTGGAAAACGTTTACTACAACATATTGTAAATTACCATATGCTGAGTTAAATTTGCTATACTTAATTAATTTTCAGCAAGTAGTACGTACTTCAATATATAGTTAATTGAAGTAGGAAGCACATACATATATTAATTAATTATAAGCAGTTGTTACTAATTAACTGTGGAGAAGGATCTAATGGGTAGCTAGGGGTTAAAAATATTAAGGGGAGTCAAGAACATCAATAGTTAAGCACAATACAACATCTTATTTTTCGTGGTATTTCTTTCGTTTCAAAATATAAGCATTTTCGAAATATATTTAGGAGTAATAGATAATTAACTGATTTGTACATGTGATCCTCGAAGAGAGCAATATATATGTGGGATGCTTATAAATTAATTAACCATCAAATTAATCGAAGCAAGCCACACAAGAAATAGCTAACCTATATATCTGTACTGACCGTGCAAAGCCATGCATAGTACCAATTTGCTTGATATTATTAGCAAAGCTAGCTAGTTAAGCTTGGAGGTAGTTCTATTAGTGTATGAAA